GTCTGGCCTGGGCAGCCTCTCTCCTGGGTGTAAAAGGAGGGGCCAGGGGTCAAAGGTCACAAGAAGAAGCTGAAGCCATAGTCCTCAAACTTCCCCCTCCCCCACCACATCCCCTCCAGGTTCTCTCGTGTTTCCCCAGCTCCCTGGATTCCCCTAGGTCTTGGGGTCCCCGTGCCCTGATTTGCACTCCTCACCTGAAATGACCTCCAAGAGCAACATGAGCTTGAGGCCATTGCGGAAATCCTCCTCGATGTTTTCAATCTGGGTGCCAGCCTTGCGCAGGTGTGAGTTGCACCAGGCAGTGAAGGTCTGGGGGCAGAGACAGCACTGAGACCCTAGCTCTGGGTCTGGGGGACATCGGGGTAGATCTCAGAGCCCCCGCCCCAGAGTCAAGTCCTGGCTCAGCCACTGACTTGCTGTGCATCCAGGACCCAGTCCCTTTTCTCCCTGAGCTTTCGTTCTCCTGGAAAAGGAGACATGGGTTCTAGGGCCCGCACAGGTCCCAGTTTAGACTTGGGGCATGCCAGCTTTAGCCTGTCTCAAGCACTGGAGGGGGTTTTAGAAAATTGTAAAGCATATGCTCCAAAGTGTGGGGACCCCTCTGACACACAAGGGCCAATGCAGGGTGATACTGCCCTTCTAACGCCTGCAAAATTCTAGAGCAAAGCCTACCCAGTTCTGAGGGTTTTGCCTGAGGGATCGTGCACCTGTATTACTGTCCTCTCAGCCCTACTGACCTCCCAGGGCTGTTGTGAATGGGCCTCCAAGTAGAACTCGAGGGTACAAGAGCTTTGCAAGTCATGGCGGACCAGCTGGTCCTGGAGGTGACTGCCTTCCCCTCTCCCTAGAGTCAGCCTCAGCCTCAGCCTCCATCTGGGACGGGAGGGCTGCTATGCAGCTCTGTCTATATTGGGGGTGGGGGTGACCTGAAGCCTGATATACATTTCCACCAACCTATGAAGCCCTCAAGCCCTGCATTCTGCCATCATCTGTAGGGCCCTTGGTAGAGTCTATACTTGGGCTCCAAGCCCAGCTGAGATGCTCACTCACTGTGACCCGGAGTATGCCCTTTGCCCTTTCTTGGGCTCAGTCTCCCCATATATATTAATTAACTGGCCAGACTTCATGATGTCCCAAGGTCCTTCTTCCTCCAATCTGGTAGGATTCTAGAATTCAGAGATTCCCCCCACCACAAAGCAATTAATCCTGGGAGATGACCCTGGAAGTTATTTGGAATTATTTCCCTCACGCAGCTTCCCTTCCCGAGACCAGGTTTTCAGCTGCCCTAGAAGCTGGACATGAAAGATGATGCTTTAAATACGTGAGGGACTGTCATTGCTGAGGAAAGGGAGTGAGCTTCCTGTCACTGGAGGTGTATAAGCAAGTGCTGAACACTACTCGATGGGGCCCCAAGCACAGGAGAAGGTAGTTGGATTCTCTCTAGTTCCCTCAAGCCCTGGAGTCTGAGATGCTCTGGGTCTAGATAAAGCAGGGGGAAAGGCGGGACTGGGCGGGGCTTCCATGGTGGAGGAAAGGGCATTCTTCCGTTTGACAAACACTTAATAAGATGTAGTCCCTGCCCTATAGGAGCTCACAGTCAATCAAAGGGTCGTGTTGGTCTGAGAAGTGCTGGGAGAGACTAGTGTCCGGGAGAAGAGGGATTCAAATCAGGTGGGGGACCTCTTGGGGAAAGCTAATATTTGATCTGAGCTGCAATGGAAAAGCAGGAATTATTCGGACAGAGAAGGGCAGGCAAGGGCATTTTGCAGCCACACAGGCAAATGCTCAGCAGTGAGAAACAGTTGCTAGGTCTGTGGGGTTACAGCTATCTGGGTGCCACTGGAATGAAGCTGGGGGTGTTGGGGTATAAGTGGTGAGAGGCGGGCCGGAGGGGCGGCAGGGGCCAGGTCATGCACGATCTTGGGTGCTAAGCCAGGGAGTTTCAACTTGATCCTGAGGGCAACAGGGCATCAGGGAAGATTTTGGGCAGAGGGAGGTGGGCAGAACCGTGTTTTAGAAAGCTCTTCCTGGTGGCAGAGTGGAGGCAAATGGCTTGGCAGAGCAGGAGGGAGAAGTGAGAAGGTGGCAACTGGGATGCGGTGGGGGGGTGGGGGGAAGAGGCGGGGAGGAAGGGTGTCAGGAAGGGTCAGAGGGATGGGATAGAAACACTCTTCTTGCTGAAGTATAAGCTTCCTAAGGCAGAGGATTTCTTTTGTTTCCTGCTGAAGTCCTGACACCTAACACAGGGCCTGGCCCTGAGCAGGAGTTCCCTAAGAAATACTGAATGAATGTTTTGGAATGAGGTTGAATGAAGAGGACTCAGGCATCAAGCAGGAGCAGGAGGGAGTGCTCCGAGACACCGGCGGGGGGGGGGGGGGGGGGGGGGGGGGGGGGGCGGGGAGGGCAGGTGTAGGGCGGGGCTAAACTGAGTACAGAGATGCTCAGGCTGGAGGAGAAAGAAACTCCGGAATGGCCAACTTCCAGGGATGCTGATTAATTTACAGAGCATCTACGTTGTGCAGCTGTTGAACGAATGGATGAAGTGGGTGGCTGTGGGTTGGGTTGGAAGGGTATTCCTGATATTTTGTTAAATGATGCAGGCAAGTTACAGACTAGTGCGTGCCTCATGAAGGGCATGTGGACCTGGATCTGAGGGAAACCTGGTGGGTGCCGAGCAGATGGCAGCTGGAGCCAGGGGCAGGGATGACATCACCGGGAGACTGCCAGACCCAAGGACCGTAGCCCTGCTTGGAGACAGGTGCAGGAGGAACCAGAGGGGAAGCGTGTCACCCGGGGCACTCCAGCCTAGTCAGCTGGGCCTCCTGGACTCTGGGGTCATCTCCTGTCATCTAACCCAGCAGAAGTGCTCTGATTCTAAATCCTGGGATTCTCAGATCCTGCAAATTCCACTGAGCACTCCTGTTCCCTGGCCTCTCCTGGAGTCACACACTGTTGGCAAATGCTCAGCAGGGTCCAATGACTTCACGTCGTCCTCCCTCCCCCTGGCCTGCCACTCCCCAAAGTCTCCTCACTCCAACCCGGATCATTTTCTCTTTTGGGAACCCAGGTGTCCTGCCCCCTCCACTTGGGAAAGTCTGGGAGTGAAAATAGATCAGGGAGGGGGCCCCAGTGCCCTACAAGGCTGGGCCTGGGCAGCAGCTGCCCATGTGCCCCACTCCAGCTCCCCCAAGCCGCTGCCTCAGCACAAAGTGTCCATCTGGCCGGAGAGTCAGGTTACAGCGTAAGGGGACCCAGGCTCCCCTCCTCCTTGACCCTGTGGCCTTTTCAGCAGACTTAGGGCCCCTGGGGTGGGGAGGGGTATCTTGGGAAGGAGTGGGGGTGGGGCAGGCAAGGGGCAAAGACCCTCAGGTTGTGGGGGGGGGTCCTGTTTTCTGACAATATATGATTTGGGTCCTATCTCTGCCCCTTCCTGGGCCTCAGTTTCCTCATTTGACAATTGGGATGGAGTGGCAATGAACCCCAGGGTGGAGAGAATAGAGAGGAGAGAGTGGGGAGGGGTCTGGGATGGTTCTCTCCTCTCCCACACTCCCAAGTCCACTAGGTGCCGGCTGCAAGTCCTCAGGGTGGGCTCTAAGATATTTAACTAGAGAGTCAGGGGCCTGGGGAGGAAGATTATTTTCCCGACACCCCCCAAACTTGGATCTCCTGGGCTTCACCCAGCCCCTTTTCGCCAGCAGAAGTGGGACAGTGGGCCCAGGGTAATGAACTCCTGGGGGGTGGGACCCCAGAAACTCTCCTTGTTATCCTAAACCCCTCATGAGGGCTCCCAGCCCTCTCTTCCAGCTCTGGGGGGAGACAGCGGAGGACTGATGGGCCGAGCTCGGGCTAGGCAGTGGCATTCTGGGTCTAGACGGGCTCTGCCCCCGACTTGCTGAGCTGCCAAGGACAAATCGCCCGGCTTCTCAGGCCTCAGTTTTGCCATCTGGAAATGGGTGAGCACTCACTTTCCGCTGCTGCTTCTCCCAGGCCGGGTCGAGCAGTAGGTCGCGGTCCCAGTCCTCCTCCTGTTCCATGTACTCGCCGCCCCCGCTGCCGCCCACGAAGGGCCCCTCCCCGACCCCCAGACCCTCGGGCTGCATCACCATCATCATCTTGCTCGGGCTTCTGGCTCCGCTCCGTTCGGCGCTCTCTGGAACACCCCGGCCGCGTTAAGTAGCGCCCGGCCCAGCCCCGGATCGGATTCGCGCTAAATATGGGGGAGGAGGGTGGGGCCGGATGGGGGCGAGGGCGCTCGGGTCGGGACTAGGCAAGAGGTTGCCCTGGGACCAGAGGACTGCAGGATTTGGGGGCGCTGGGGTGGATCCCAAGGCGGAGATTCGGGGTTCCCGTTCTGGCTCCGCCTCTTGGGCGCTGTGTGACCTTGAGAAAGCCACGGCCCTCTCTGTTTCCTCACGTGTGCAACGGAGATAACGATAATAGTAGAGGCTGTAGAACGCTCTAGAAGCTGTCCCTTAGGCCTCCTCCTGACCCTCTCCTGGCGCCGCGCAGGTGGGAAACCGAGAGCCCTATCCCCATTTCACAGTCAGACACACCGAGGTGCCGACCTGTTTGAATGTTTTCTGGGGTGATGAAGACACTCGAGCATGGGGAAGGGTTCCAGGCCAGCTGGATGAGGCGATGCAGGGCTATTAATACAGGGGCGGCTGGGGGCTGAGGGGGAATGTGCTGATCTGGGAAACCCCGACGCCACCGAGACGGCAACTCGATCCTCCAAACCAGCCAGCGAGGCCAGAGGGCGGGGCTTCTGCGGGAGGGGCGGGGCTCCGCGGCTGGGCGTGGCTATAACGTGCTGCCCTACCCGGCTCTAGCGCCAACGGGATTCCAAGCTTCTCCGTGGCCCATGCGGCCGTCCAATCACATGCCTGCATCTGCCGGCAGCTCCCGGTGACTCAAAACTCCCTTCGGAGCTTCTAATGGTCGTAGCAGGCGTCCGTCTGCCACTATCCCCGCCCCAATACGGAAGCGGAGGGGTACTCGGGATCCGACAGCCGGTGGGTCCAGGCCATGGGGCAGCCCTGGGCGGTGGGGAGCGCGGAGGGGGCGCCCGCGCGGCTGCCTCTCGTGCTCACTGCGCTGTGGGCCGCGGCTGTGGGCCTGGAGCTGGCCTATGTGCTGGTTCTAGGTCCCGGGCCGCCCCCGCTAGGACCCCTGGCTCGGGCCTTGCACCTAGTGCTGGCCGCCTTCCAGCTGCTCAACCTGCTGGGCAACGTGGGGCTCTTCCTGCGCTCGGACCCCAGCATCCGGGGCGTGATGCTGGCCGGCCGCGGTCTGGGCCAGGGCTGGGCGTGAGTGGGGCGCGGGATCTGGGGGTTGGCGCGGGGGTGGGGGGAAAAGCAGGAGCTTTGGACAGGGGGAGGTGCCCTAGGACCAGAAGATATTAGAACCAGATTACGATAGGATCCGCTTGTTAGAGCCAGAACACTCTTTTACAGCCTGGGATGGTAGATCCAGAAGAAATATCATTCATTCACTTAGAAATATTAATGAGCACCTACTATGTGCAAGGTACTGTTCCGGCCACTGAAGGTTCCATAAAATAGATTCCTGACCTCCTGGAGCTGATTTCAGTGGGGGAGGAGGCAGATGATAAGCTACAGGCATAATAAATAAGGAAATTATATAGAATGTTAGACGATGGTGGTATGGAAACAAAAAGTAGAGCAGGGTAAAGGGTGTGCAGATTGCAGTTTTAAATAGGGTAGTCAAGGTAGGCATTTGAGCAAAGACTTTAATTTAAGGATGTGGGGGAGTTAGCCATGTGGGAATCTGGGGGAGAGCGTTCCAGGTAAAGGGGACAGAGTGCAAAGACTGAGGCAGTTACGTGCCTTGCAGGTTCAGGAACAGCAGGAAGGCCAGTGTGGCTGGTGTGGAGTGAGAGAGGGAGGGGAGGGAGGGTAGAGATAGAAAGACCTTGTAGGACATTGAAGGTTTTGCTTTTTACTGGCAGTGAGATGGACAGCCGTTGTAGGGTTTTGACTTAGATTTTCTTTTTAAAGATTTTATTTATTTGTTTGAGAGAGAGAGGGCATGAGAAGGGGGGAGGGTCAGAGGGAGAGGCAGGCTTCCCGCTGAGCAGGGAGCCGGACATGGGGCTCGATCCCAGGACTCCAGGATCATGACCTGAGCCAAAGGCAGTCGCTCAACTGACTGAGCCACCCAGGCGCCCCTTGACTTAGATTTTTAAGGATCAGCCTGGCTGCTGGGGTGAGACCATACTAGGAGGAACCAAAGCTGGAATCAATCAGGGAGAGTCATTAAGAGTCTCAAACAGAGGGGCGCCTGGGTGGCTCAGTCGTTAAGCGTCTGCCTTCGGCTCAGGTCATGGTCCCAGGGTCCTGGGATCGAGCCCCACATCAGGCTCCTTGCTCCGCGGGAAGCCTGCTTCTCCCTCTCCCACTCCCCCTGCTTGTGTTCCCTCTCTCTCGCTGTGTCTCTCTCTGTCAAATAAATAAATAAAATCTTTAAAAAAAAAAAAAAAAAAGAATCTCAAACAGTAATCCTGGGGAGAGTGCATGGTGATTGGGAGGAAGTGAGAAGTTTGTCCTCGATGTTAGAGGCCAGAGAAAGGCCTTAGGACTGGGATGTCTGAGCTGCAAGAGCCCTCGGACCTGCAGGGCTAGAACTGGAAGGGCCCAGAAAGGGGTGTTCGGCCTGCGTTTATGTATGATGGAGCTGAGGCTTATTGAGGACAGTGGCTGTGCCTGCTTCCCCAGGATGGGCTCAGAGGCCGACCGGGCATGGTAGGGGGCACTTAGAGCTGTTGGCAGAACTGACGCTGTGGTTCCTTCCCTGCAGTTACTGCTACCAGTGCCAAAGCCAGGTGCCACCCCGCAGTGGGCATTGCTCCTCCTGCCGCGTCTGCATCCTTCGCCGGGATCACCACTGCCGCCTTCTGGGCCGCTGTGTGGGGTTCCGCAACTACCGGCCCTTCCTGTGCCTGCTGCTTCATGCTGCAGGCGTCCTGCTGCTTCATGCTGCAGGCGTCCTGCTGCATGTCTCTGTGCTGCTGGGCCCTGCCCTGTCAGCCCTCCTGCGAGCCCACGCGCCCCTCCACACCGCCGCCCTCCTCCTGCTGCCCTGGCTCATGCTGCTCACAGGTGGGGAGCTTGGGAGGCGTCCACAGAGGCAGAGGCACTTGCAGTGGGCCATTCTGGTGGGGGGTGGGATTTCCTGCTGGTTCTCCTGGTGATGTCCAGGGATCTCAGTTCCAATGTCATTTATGGAGGGTGAGGGCTGCCTGAGATTCAACTGGATGTGCAGTACAGTAAAATACGGGGCCTTGACCCAGGTACAGAGTTCTGGCTAGGAGAATCAGGCAAGGATTCTGGGTGTTGGCAGAGAAGGAAGGAGTGGTGGGAGTTGGGGGGGGGGTTGGGATGGGGGGGTACATTCTAAGTGGGGGTACATTCTAAGTGAGGGTTGCAGACAGAACAAAGGTGTGGAGGTTGGGCAAGGAGTAGGTTCAGACTGGATGGTGGGGACCCTCCCTGAATGCTGGTGTAAGGAGAGAGCCCTGACTTGACTGGACAGTAGGGAGCCAGTGAAAGCTACAGGCAGAGGGAAGCTCCAGTCTTTGGAAGCTGGGAGGGGAAGACATGCATCAGGAGGCTGACTGAGAGCCGTGTTCTGGATGACACACTCATTCCTCTTTCTTCTGACACCCTCCCCTCCCTGAGATAAAAGCCCCACTGTTTTTTATACTCTTTGTTGTCTCCCCCTGAAATGCCTTCTCTCCCCTGACTCCTTCCTCCTGACCCCTCCATGGTCCCCTCTGTAACCTTGTCCTGCAGTTACTAAACTCTCTGAGCACTCTGAGTAGTCGCTGTGTCTCATCCTATCCAAGCCCGGCTCTGTCCCTACAGCCCGGAGGGGTGCTGGGGGAAGGGCCTTGGGAGGCCCAGTGGGCTTGTCACTGTCTCGCTCTGACCACACTGGCCCCCTGAGCAGCCCCCCTCTGCCTCCTTGATGACCCTGTTTCCACTGAGACACAAGCCCTCCGGCCACACCTTCCTGCACCCCGCCCTTCTGCAGCCATTGCCTTCTCAAGCCCTGGGCCCTGCTGAGATCGAGGGCGTCTGGAAGTCTGGGCTAATGGCCCTCTCGGTGCCCAGGTGGTCAGCTTTTGACCTTCTCTCCATTTGACTTCCTTCACTTACTCCCACATCCATCCTACAACCTGTCAGAAGCCAAGGCGTGTCACCTCCCAAATCACGCCATGAGCCATTCACCCCGCTCTGTCGGCTGCCCACCTCCTCTCCTAGCCAGCTCTCACACTTACGCTCCATGAGCTCCGGCCCTCACCTTTTGTCAGCACCTTCCCTCTTCTGCCCCCGCATCCAGCTTAGGACCCTCATTTCCGCCATTCTCCTGCCAACATCTTAACCCTCTTGGCTCTCTGTCTTCCACGGTGCCTTCCCGTCTTCTCTGAGTCTGCCGCTGGTCGCTGAGAGCTAGGACTTGGTGGCGGTTGGTCCCATGCCATCTTCATGGCGCTGCTGACCCCAACGGGCCCTCAGTCACGCCTGGCCATCCTGGTTTCTCATGAGCTCGCTCCCCCGAATGACTGCAGCTCCAACCTTCCCACTCTCCTGTTCTCCAAGCCCCCACCTCTCTTGAAATCCATCACAGAGACAATGAGATGTCAGTTGCTACATCCAGAATTGTCTTATCCTCAGGTCTGGAAGCCAGGCTGACTGCCCCCAGCTTCTCCCGGTGTCTGGCCCTTCCTCCCTGCTTGGAAGCCTCACCATGGCCTGCTTCTCCTCCTGCTGACCCAGCCCCCTCCACCGGCTTTCTTCAGCTTTTCCCACCTGTACAAACCCTCTCTTCACTCCTCCCTATCTCTTGCCTCTTGGCTCTTCTCTTAGCAGCCAAGCTTCTTGAAGGACTTCCCCGGGCTCATAGGCTGCTTTTCCTCACCTCCCACTCACTCCTGTACCTGCTCCAAACTGGCTTCTGGCCCCCTCCCCTTCCTGAGAACGCCTCGGTCGCCACAAAGCCCAGAGGACCCTTTTGAGTTCTCTTTGCTTCACGAGACCTTACTGCTGGCCTTCAACCTCCTGGAAAGGCTGTACCCTGGGCATCTCCAACAACTCATACTGCAGGGTTTCCTCCTAAATTTTTGGTTTCCCTCTCTTTTCTTGACCGGGTCCCAAAGGACCGGGTTTCCTGATGCTGAGGTCGTGGCGCGGCTCCCATTCCCACTCTACACTCTGGCGGGTCTTGGAACTGCCAACCACCTGCAGATCTGCATGTTGGGCCTGGGCTTCTCTCCTGAGCTTCCAGAACCATCCACATACTCATCTTATAGGCACCTCTCCATCCTGCCTCAGGACCTTCAAACACAATGTTTGCTCCCCTCTTCACCTACCAAATACCTCCTTCATATGCCACCCAAGATATATCACTTAATTAAAACAGATGAAATCCACGTCCTTTAGCCTCCTAATAAGTCAACTTGGCATTTCCCCACATAGCCTCTCTTTTTTAATGAAGTAGAATTCATACAACATGAAATTTATCATTTTAACCACTTCCTCATATATCTATCATTCAGTGGCATTTAGTACATTCACAATGTGGTGCAACCATCACCACTATCTAATTCCAGAACATTTTCATCACCCCCAAAAGAAACCCTATTATACCCATTGAGCAGTCACTCCCTACTCCTCCCTGAGGCCCCCAGCTCCTGGTAACCACTCATCTACTGTCTGTCTCTATGGATTTGCCTGTTTGGGACATTTCACAGAAATGACATCATCTATGAGCCCTTTGTGGCTGGCTTCTTTCACTGAGCAGAATGTTTCATGACATCCTGTAGTTCATTAGTTCAGCAGATACTTAGTAGCTGCTGTGGGCCCGAAGGTGCTGTACTTTCCCATTGTAACACATATCACATCCATAATTAAGTAACTGAGAAGTCATCTCTTAACTATCTGTCTGTGAGCTCCCTGGGGTCAGAGCTGGTGTCCACCGTTCATCCTGGTGCCTGCCACCGCGTCTGGCATGTGGGAGGTGCTCACAAGTTTGTGATGAATTCAAGTCGGATGTTGGGCAGAGGGCTGCATCTGCCCAGGTCACCGGCGTGGGCTGGCCCGGGAGTAGCCATTCAGTGTTTACTGAGTGGAGGAAATGAGCCCTGCTTTGTGGTGGAGGGTAGGGAGTGGAAGAAGGGTGGGAGTTGAGCTTTGGGAGGGCTGAGCCCATGGCTGCCCCCTGACCCTCTTGCTTTCTTCTTGCAGGCAGAGTGTCTCTGGCTCAGTTTGCCCTGGCCTTTGTGACCGACACGTGTGTGGCAGGTGCACTGTTGTGCGGGGCTGGGCTGCTCTTCCATGGGATGCTGCTGCTGAGGGGCCAGACCACATGGGAGTGGGCTCGGGGCCAGCACTCTTATGACCTGGGCCCTTGCCACAACTTGCAGGCTGCCCTGGGGCCCCGCTGGGTCCTCGTCTGGCTCTGGCCCTTCCTGGCCTCCCCATTGCCTGGGGATGGGATCACTTTCCAGACTGCAGCTGATGTGGGCCTCGTGGCTTCCTAACTCCAGGAGGAGCCGGAGCTGTTCAGGGAGAGGGTAGCAGGAAAGGGGGCTCCTAACTCCTTTCGGGCCCATCCCCAGCCTCCCGTCCCATCCTTGGCCTTGCCCCTGCCCAGCCTGGACTCCAGTGTCCAGGGCTTGGGTCCTGCAGCTCTGCCTCTATTGGCCCCCCGAGTAGAGTGGACAGTTGGTAAGGGGCTGCTTGGCCAGCCTAGTCACCCCTTTGCTGGGTTAATAAAGTACCCACTTGGTTCTTGGACTCTCTCCATCTTTCTGGGTTTCTGGTCCCTCGCTGTTGCCCAGGCTGCTGTTTCTGGTTTCCTCTGATTGTCACGCATGGGAACCACGGAATGCCTGAGGGCTTAAGGGGCCAGGGCTCTTCCTGTGGCTTTGGTGTGGGGGTGCTAGGGCACCAGCAGACCAAGGCGGTGTGTGGTGATCCAGGGAATGAGAATCCAACATTCTTTCCCAGGTTCAGTGCTTTACGGTTAGAAGCCTCTCCACAACACTCCCTGTGTCTCCCTCTGGCTACTCTGGTACCAGGGGCAGCAGTTATGAGGGTTGATGGGAGAACATCATGGGGCAGTGAATGGAGGAGTCAGGATTTGAACCCAGATCTTTGTGCTTTCTCCTTCACCCTTGCACAGCTGAGGAAAGTGAGTAGCAAAATCGAGGCAGAGAAATCAGGTGGATGTTCAAGCATCTGCAGGATGGTGCTCAGAAGGCTAAGCTCTTCCTCTCTCGACTCTTCAGGAGCTACCTGTTAAACATTTTTGTTTAAATATAGTAAATAGACTTCCAGTTAAACTTAGCAGGTTTAAACACATGGGTTTACTTACCTCTGTTTCCTTTTAAAATCTAAAATGATAGTAAAGACATAAAACATATAAATTTACAAGGACAAAGAAAATAGAAGGGAGACAGGAATAGATCAAAGAGCCTGATGACATTCTGAAAGATGGGAAGTGGATGGGGGCTCATTTCCTCTCTTAGCAGAGAATTAGAAGTTAATTCCTAGAGGGAGGGGCCAAGAGGCAGCCAAACTGCCCCCCGCCCCCAGAGCCCTGGAGAGGCTCAGGAACTCTTCTGGCACCATGGAAGGCAGGGTTTGGGACTGACAGACCTAAAGTCTGTATGAGGAGCAGCTAGGTTGCCCCTTACCCCCCAGGGCAGGGTTTGGGACTGACAGCAGGGTTTGGGACTGACAGACCCAAAGTCTGTATGAGGAGCAGCTAGGTTGCCCCTTCCCCCGCCAGGGCCCCCTTGCAGCCAAGCAGCTACCCCTCTGAGGTACAGATGGGGGCTATTCGAAGAAGCTTAGGGTCTCAGGGGAGGGTTGGGGGTGAGGGGCTGGACCAAAAATGGGGTTAAGTGAAAAAGTCTACAGATGCTGCCTTGGGTGGTAGAGATGTCATCCAGTGACATGGCAGGCTTGTCACCCAGGAACCCTCAGAGAAGCCCATCCTTCTGAGAGGCCCTGCCCATACCCACAAACCTTTGAGCTGCTAGGACTTCTTTGTTTTCCCAAATGGCACGTTCAACTGCTAGTTCTTAACAGTTAGGAAAGTGGTGTGCCTGGCGCTTTGTGCTGTACGGAAGCATGAGCAGACTTCTTGTCTCCTCTGCTTTCTATTGTTTTTATTAAATAGTAAGGAGATGCAAGAAAATATTTATAAAATAAATTCCCTCCTTCCCATTTAAGAAATGGATACCACTTCCTTTGAAGTCCCCACTGCCCCTCCCCAGTGGAGAAAACACTGTACTGTCTGAATCATTCCCTTGCTTTGCCTTGTAATTGTATTACCTAGGTTTGTATTGGTTTTGCATGTTTTTGAATTTTATATAAATGGAATCATACTGTGTTTATTCTTCTGTGACTTGCCTTTTCACTCAATACTATGTTTCTGAGATTTATCCAGATGAACGTGTAGAGCTGTAGGGCATTCCTTCTCCTTGCTGTATAGTGAGCCATTGACTATACCACAACTTATTTTTCCACTGTCACCCCTATTGTAGGACTCCCTAAGATCTATTCCTGGTCCTTGCTCTTTCATATAAATTTTAGAATCCACTTGTCAAGTTCCACAAAAAAAAAAAAAAAAAAAAAATCCCTTTGAGATTGTGAATGAAACCCAACTCAATCTAAAGATCAACATCCATATGAAATTGAAACTGCATTTTTCAGTTCATGAACATGGTGTGTCCATTAAATGTTTTCAATAAAGTTGTATACTTTTTCTCATAAAGATCATGCCTTTTTTGGTTAGATTTATTACTTTTTTTTAAAAGATTTTATTTATTTAATTGACAGAGAGAGAGAGACAGTGAGAGAGGGAACACAAGCAGGGGAAGTGGGAGAGGGAGAAGCAGGCTTCCAGCCGAGCAGGGAGCCCAATGCCGGGCTCGATCCCAGGACCCTGGGATCATGACCTGAGCCGAAGGCAGTCACTTAACCAACTGAGCCACCCAGGGGCCCCTAGATTTATTATTATTATTATTTTTAGAGAGAGAGTGCACGAGTGGGGGGAGGGGAGGGGCAGAGGGAGAGGGAGAGAGAGAATCCTAAGCAGGCTCCATGCTCAGGATGGAGCCCGATGCAGGACTCAATTTCACGACCCTAAGATCATGACCTGAGCTGAAATTGACATTCGGACGCTTAATGAACTGAGCCACCCAGCATGGGTTTCTTTTTAAATAGATGGCCCTTAAGTTCCCTTCTAGTCCAAATACGTTAATAATTTGTATTCTTTTACTTTCAATTGTTTTGTCTCTTGAGATCAGCGTATAGATGGATTTTTTTTTTTTCTTTTAAGATTTTATTTGAGAGAGCACGAGTTTGGGGAGGGAGGGGCAGACGGAGAGGGAGAAGCAGACTCCCGGATGAGCAGGGAGCCTGACTTGGGGCTCAATCCCAGGACCCTGGGATCATGACCTGAGCCGAAGGCAAACGCTTAACTGAGCCACCCAGGCGCCCCATAGATGGAGTTTTAAAAATCTAGACAAGACTGTCTTCCAGTTGAAACATTTGGTCATTTATATTTATTGCAATTAATGTACTTGGGTATATTTCTACCACTTTATTTTGTGCTTTCTATTTGTCTCACTTTTTGTAGTTTTTAGTTTTTTACCCTTTTTTTAAAAATAATTTTTTATTGTTATGTTAATCACCATACATTACATCATTAGTTTTTGATGTAGTGTTCCATGATTCATTGTTTTTTACCTTTTTTATTTAAAGTTACTTTTTGCTGGATGCAGAATTCTAGGCTAATACTTATTTCCTCTCAATGTTAAAAATATTCTGTCTTTTGGTTTCCATTGTTGCTGTTAAGTCAACTGTCATTTTCCTTTGAAGATATTTTTATCTTCGGTGCTTTTAGGATTTTTTGTCTTTTTTTTTTTAAAGATTTTATTTATTTATTCGAGAGAGAGAGAATGAGAGATAGAGCACGAGAGGGAAGAGGGTCAGAGGGAGAAGCAGACTCCCTGCTGAGCAGGGAGCCCGATGTGGGACTCGATCCCAGGACTCCAGGATCATGACCTGAGCCGAAGGCAGTCGCTTAACCAACTGAGCCACCCAGGCGCCCTAGGATTTTTTGTCTTAAGTATTCTGCAGTTTACTGTGATGTGCACAAGTGTGGTTTCCTTTTGTCTTAACCCTAAAGAAATTCCTTGGGTTTCCTGATTCTATGAATTGATGTCTTTCATCAGTTCTAGAGGATTCTTAGTTGCACTACACATATTTTCTCTGTCCCTAGTGAAGCTCTGACGAGACCTTCCTATTCTATCCTCACATTTTCTATCTCTGTTTCTGGCAGTCTGGATAATTTCTCCAGCTCTATCTTCTAGTTAAGTCTTTCTTCAGCTGCAAAACCAATCTACTGAGTTTTTTTCTTTTTTTTTTCAATTTTTTTTTTTTAAAGATTTATTTATTTATTTGACAGAGACAGCGAGAGAGGGAACACAAGCAGGGGGAGTGGGAGAGGGAGAAGCGGGCCTCCCCCCAAGGAGGGAGCCCGATGTGGGACTCGATCCCAGGACCCTGGGATCATGACCTGAGCCGAAGGCAGACGCCCAACGACTGAGCCACCCAGGCACCCAGTTTTTTTCTTTTTTAAGTGGTTGTGCCCATTCATCCATGAGTTTTACATGTCAAATATTTTATTCTCGTTTCTAGTTCTGTTTGGTTCTTTTTCAGATTTGCTTGGTCATTTTATATTCTCTCTTGCTCTCTACTTATATTTCAGGGTTTTGTTTTGTTTTGTTTTTGCTTTAAATATATTGAAGACACACATCTTACACTGTTTAGTAATTCCAAAATTTTAAGTCTTTGAGGCCTGAGTACGTGGGCTATTGTTTATGGTGGCTCCTCTTCACAATGTCTTTTTTTTTTTAAGATTTTATTTATTTGACAGAGAGACACAGTGAGAGAGGGAACACAGCAGGGGGAGTGGGAGAGGGAGAAGCAGGCTGAGCAGGGAGTCCGATGCGGGGCTCGATCCCTGAGCTAAAGGCAGACGCTTAACTGAGCCACCCAGGCGGCGCCCCCACAATGTCTTATTTTCTTGCAATTTGTGGGTTTTGACTGTGAGTTCCTTTTTCTTGGCATTTTATCAAGGGGATTGTTTTTGAGATTGGGTCAACAGTAAATTCCTCCAGAGAAGATATATGTTTCTCAGTCATCTGATGACAAACGAATCCTGCACCACTTTAAATTTCAGCTATGGGTCTTTTGGACCACCCAGGTATTGTCAATTTAGGTGTAGACTTATTCAGGCTGGCTGTGGTTAAAAAAATCTCAGGAGAGGTTTTTCTCCTGGCTTCTACCTTGCACTTGGCTTAGAGATAGACAATTGCCCTGCTGGTTCTGATGAGATTTCCCAGAACCAGCTTTTGGTTTTGTTGATTTTCTCTGCTAATTTCCGGTTTTCAGTTTTAATTGATTTCTGCTCTAATTCTTTTTTTTTTTCCCCTGCTTACTTTGGACTTATTTTGTCCTTACTTCCCAAGGTGGAAACTTAAATTATTGATTTTAGATCTTTCTTCTTTTCTAAAACATGCATTCAATGCTATACATTTCCCTTAAAGCACTGCTTTTGCTGTGTCCCACAAATTTGGTAAGTTGTGTTTTCGTTTTCATTTAGTTCAAAAGATTTTTAAATTTTTCTTGAGATTTCATCTGTGACTCACGTGTTATTTAGAAGTGTGTTGTTGGGACGCCTGGGTGGCTCAGTCGATTAAGCGGCT